GGGGTTTGTGGTCAAAGAAAAATAAGTGAACAGATATTATAGATCGTTTGAAGATTCTGATATTGATTCAGAGGCATCCCAAATCCATCCAAACCTCGAGACAGAAGCCCTATGACCTACTAGAACATACTAGAACCCATCCTAGTCAAGTGGACGAACGGCACCGAAAGAGGATGGTTATCAGTCATCACTAGGGGTGCTGCTCAGCTGACATTCGAAACCAGAACTGCTGGTTGTGGAAAAGACAACAAAACACCACCCGCATGTGTTGATGTGATTTGGTCACTTGCCAAGCGAGCGTCAAACGAATGTAAACCATAGGGTAATTGCAAAGTGTGATGCCAGTGTCGGTTGACATATCCTTTTGGACTCTGCAAATCGCACGAACTGGACTGCATCAGATCCTCCAAAAGCTACTTGATGATTGCACAGGAACACTTTGTGCTGTTTCCCAAGCAGGAACAGTCCCAAGAATGCACTAAACAACTTCCATTCAGATGTGTTTTGTTTTCTCTGAAAATATGTTGTCAAACAAACACTAGAAGCAACATTGGGCATATTGGGCAAGTTTAGAATCATCCTCTTGTTTGGAAGCATGTGTTTCAATAGCGGTTTTAAAACCCAAATCACCAGCTAATTTGTCATGTACTGTATAGTTCCACAACTACGCTGGTTGGGGAAACAGTTGCAGTCGTTGTGACTTCAACTTCAACCTGCCCTGAAGTATTGGCCCATCCCAGAATAGGTCGTTCAACCACCGTTTGTTCACAGTGCAAAGATTCTTGTGCGTCTTCACGTGTTTTCACATCAAGAAACAACAAATTTCAGGCCGGTTTGCTCAACAGAACGTCATCGTTATTGGGTTCAAGGCCGTGGCAACAATTTTGTTGTAACTTTCTCTCTGTAAATCGCTCTGTTTCACGCCCAAGATCTGGCGGTTGCTTTTGTTTTTTCTCCAAGGACCTCTACTCCGATGCCCGGGAGCCCCGCTGATCATGACACCCACATCCCAAGACGGCGCTTTTAGAGCAATCTCAGAAAAACATCATGTGACTCATGCCTTTTCTGCATGGAGGGTGTCAAGGAGTACCGGCCTTGCAGGTTTACATCTGGGAGTACCGGCCTGCGCTGTTTAAAGACTGACAGCACCCCAGGAAGATGCCCAACGACATCTCCTCATGACATCTCCTCACACAAAATACGAACGAATCTCTAGTGACCCAACTAGCAACCTCATAGCAAGAAACACACAATTCAAAGATGGAAAGGGAACTTAATAGCAATGGCCTCCAACCCCTAAAACCTAGTCAGCCAGCTGAACCATCTCACCAAACCAGTGGATTCCTTCGAACGTGGTTCCGCGCTTTTTCTAGCGGTTTGTCTCATGCAGATCGACAGGTATCCAAAATCTACTAGTATGAAGTACTCAGCCTCCCGGTTTACGAAGCACCTCTAGTGTCAAGCCACTAAGCGCCGCAGTTCTTGTTCCGCTTACGATGGCCCAACGTCGCAACGTCGGGCATTTCACCCGACTCAGAGGGCCTGTCACTTCCAAGAAGTCTGATCACTGAATCACCCTAGTAGCGAACCTTGTTACTAGTAGTAACAAGTGCATCGCTAGTAGTAACAAGTGCCTTACTAGTAGTAACAAGAAGCTAGTAGAAACAATAAGCTAATAGTTTCTTGTTACTAGTAGCGATGCCAGGAGCCCCTACTGTAGTAGCGTCCGATCGCTCCGTTCGTAGCGATGCCCTTGTTACTAGTAGCAAACATTGCTCCTATTGCTTCTTTGGTCAAATGCTTCAGTTTGGAACCGCACATCCCAAGACGGAGTTGACACGGCCTTCTAGGTTGGAGGCCAAGGCTACTATCGGTTCCTTTCAAGTCTGTCGTCTTTAATATTGAATTGCATATAATGAATGAGTTATAACACAACCCCACTGGCCTGAAAAGGTTCGACTGGACCGAGGCCGAGCGGGAATCCCGCTTTGGGCCCTTGCAAAACCAGCAACGCGCGCGGAGCCCGGAGGTTCAGACGTTGAAAAACGAGTCTGACGATGCGGTTTCAAAACCCCAAGGCATTCTCGAAACGCTTCCACACATGAGGCGTCAAAGGGGGTCATGTCATGATCCATACCCTCAGCATTTCTGTGGGTTGCTTTGTTGCAGAGTGCAGAGTACAACTTCGGACCAGTTCAATGGCTCGGCGTTCTTTCGCTGCCGCATCAATAAAGACAAACAGGTTGATGCAGCACCAGCCCAGGTAGCCAAGGCCAAAGTTTGTCTCCTTATGTTAGTTCCTGCAAAAAGAGTTGTATCCTTGGTAACTGGACTCAGTTCACAAGAGAGAGTGCCTAGATCAGAACTTAGAAAGAGGAACTTCCAGAGACTTGCTTGTTGTTAAATGCAACCTGGTCACTGGACCCACAACTTCCTTGGGATTATGTTTGAGCTCTGCATTGTTTGCGAGCCACAGCACACAAGGTCCCGGAAGATGCTAATCTCTTGTTCCTGTCCAGGGCAAAAGCCTGGGAATGCTCGCAACACCTCAACCTTGATCATCATGGGCTTCGCATCATGCCAGTTTTGACGGACCCTTTGTAGCTGCCTTTGCCTTGTTGTGAGTTGTCAACAACATCTTTGGGACATCTCAATTTTTACTACTTGTACTGATACTTGATGTTTTGGAGCCCGAAACCTTGCACATGTCAGTCTCATCATTGAGGACAATGTAGTTCGGAGGTTTGGATACCGTTCGGTGAACATCGTACCCGTCAGTGATTGACCTCCAAATTTTGTGTTTGTGCAATTAAAGTGTTTTGTATTTTTCTCCAGACATGATTTGCTATTGATGTAGCGAGGTGAACCTTTGGAATTGAAGGACACGGAACATGAAACAAAGCTCCACTTCTCCTGCGCATTGTTCACCGCTCTGGTGCCCTGGAGACAAGAGCGAAGGATCTTCAAGTTGGCCCTAGTGTTGGCCATATTGCTTCGACGGACCATGAAGGCCCAGTTTTGGAAACAAACATGTTTGTCCAAGACTTGCTACATATCATATTTCCACAACGCAGTTTATGGTTATGTCATATGACACACAAACTCAGCGCTCGTTGCCACTTCGATAATACGTCCAGTCCGGCTGATAGCAGGCTCCGACCTTGGAAAACAACGGAAATTGAATGCGCCAACTTGGCGAGGATATTGCACTATCCAGTTCCAGCAGGGGATCAGCACCGCAGCAAAAGGAGTATGGATGCTCACCCGCAGTACAGCGGGCTTCCAGCGACTAAACTGAGGCGTTCCATGGGCTCTCTAGCTTCCACGAGTGCCATTTCAACATGTTCCTCTTCACAAGCTTCGAGCAAACTTTTGGCCGAAGCTAGCCGCGAATGACTCAAATTCTAGCCGCGACTGACTCAACCCAGGGATTGACAGATCCAAAAACTGATGTTCGTTGAATGAAGCACGGTGCTGCCTCCTGTAACTAATGTAGCCCGCCCCCCACATTAACTCCAGCAGCTCTTTGTCATCGACGGTTGAACATGTCTCCGCCCGCAGATGCTTCAGAGCAGTGTTTGCTTGGGCGAAGCTGCCAAGAACTTCGTGATTGTGCGGAACTTGACGCCTGAGGCATGCGCATTCCTGACTCTTTTTGGTTTGAGTTGCCTGGGGAAATAAGGGTGAGCAGGGCCCCAGAACGCAACTACTTCGACAAGGAATGTCAAAAACTGGGGATATTCCCGTAGGACAATGGCAGTTGCAACGGTGTCAAAATAATTACTGTATGCTGCAGCTATGCTAAGTCGCTGCGCGGTTCCATCATTCAGGGGAAGTACAAAGTCATCAGATGTTATCAGAATCCAAACCGCAATGTGCAAGAAAGTAGGTATCCCAAACACGATCTCCAGACCAGGTGAGCCAGTTCCAAAACCTGCAGTTTTATCGTTAACAAGTCATCCATCCCGAAAACATTGTCATGGAAATGCGCTCAGGGATGCCGGAAAAGTAGACCAAACATGGCGGACCAATGACAGGTCAAGAATCATCCATGTGGGATGTCCGGTGGAAACCTAGTCCAGTTGTGAAGAATCACCTTCCAGATGACTGAGTTTGGTTGGGTGGGTTCTGTTTGGAAATGCACATTGGGATTGACATTTGTTTTCGGTTGACCATTGGGCAACCGCACGTTTGGGTTTCACTCATGACCCGCTGAATTTGTTTGTTTGCCGGTAGGCGAAGAGCTATGCGTGGTTTCAACGTTTTCAGAACAAGGATGGCATGAAAAAGGGCCAGGCGCAGAAGATAAACTGAAAAATCACCGGTCGGTGGAGTGTTGTGGTTTGGGTTAGTTGGTTGAAATTTTGTGCATGTGTTTTTCGTCACATTGGAACCTTTCAAACCATGGTTGCAAACATGGGTAAAGTTGAAAAACATTGGCAGCTGCAATCCGTTGCAAGGATGGCATTCCACCAACAACAATTAACATCCGGGTGAATGGCTAGCGGCTAGTTAATTGAAGTGGGGTTCGTCAGCATGTGTCTTTGAGGGGGGAGAGACATGGACCCCGTAAACCCTGAAACCCTGTTGGCTGCAAAGTGCAATGCAAAAAACAATTAACTTCAATTAACCATCAAAAACCAATGGTCAGTTCTGATGTCAAATTGGTTGATGGCAAAAGATATAGAACTTCACATGGGTTAAACATGGTTAAACTAATAAGATGTTGGGGCTGGTGCTTGGTCCGTCCAACAAAATTCAATATGTTAATGTTGCCATTTCCATCATTACTCTAGGATCAAATTTTCAGCGATTGCTATCGCAATTCGCTTGGAACAGATCCGAGTTCATTCTTGATTAGTTTTTCCTTGCAGATCCAACTACCTCCCAAGGTATTGGCAACTTCAGTTGCCGCAAACATCCCCCATCACCGCACCTCAGAGTCTATCAGTGGAACAGTTGATTTGTGTCCGTCTTCAGGAGTTTCCAGGTCTTCGACCGCCGTCACTCAAGCTCCCCGCTCTTTCCAAGAAACTGCGGGATGTTAACTTTTGGCCGATTGGCCGTTGGGCTGCCAGCGCCATGGTGAAGCCCTGGAATGTTTGGTGGCTCTTTATTTGGATTGCTACATCAGAACCAGCACCCTGCTTGCCAGACGCCGTGAAGGCGGAGGAGCGAAGGCTGGGTGCCGATCTCAAGATGTGCTTCGATCGTAAATTTCTGAGGATGTCGTTTTCGATTCCGTCAGACACGACCCTCCCCGAAACCCTTGAGCGTGGGGGGGCACACATTTTGTATAATTTTGTTAGTTGTCAGAGGAACCAAAAGACAAGTGAACAATGGTTTTTCAGGCTGTCCGCACACATTTTTGGTGTGATTTGGAGCTGGAGCGTTGTGTTTGCCGTGTAGTTTGTACGGTCCCAGGTGGCTCAAGGACAATGCTGGAAGAGATCTTCCATTGGGACTGCAATTTGGCGAATCTGGACTGTTTCCGAGTTTCGATGGGCTGACGACGTTGGGCCTTCTAGAAGTTGAGGCTTTGGGGTACGTATCAAAGCCAGAATATGGGAGGCTGGCAGCAGATGTTCGATTCTTTGGCTGAGGTTGTTTTATTTCCTGTCGGACAAACTTCTTCACCAGGGGCAGATGAAAAACATGTTCCACAGTTTTGAGACCTCCCCTGTGGCAGTGCCGCAGGGTTGTTGAAGCACGTCACAGGGGGGCCTTGTATCGCAGGCATTTTTCCATCGCCTCCATGAGTTCCCACCACAAGTATATCCCAATCTGGAGAGGACGGGACCAAGGTCCGGCGTAGTTCAATTTGAACACTCAGTCTCCGATCGAGAATTCTCCGCAGATTTGACTCTTTCTTGTTTGTATGTACACACACCAAGAAACAAGGTGGTGTTCCTTCCTTAACCTCACCCATCCTCACCCTTCACCTGTGCTGCTTTTGTCCGCCTCCCTCTTTCCGAAGACATCACCTCTGGGTGTTCCCGGTGCTTTCGCTTCAAGACGACTCGGTGTCCCACCGCTGTCCGCTCCGACGCTGAGTAGTGCTGTGCTGCGACGGCGCCGATGAGGCTCACTTGTGACTGGGCGAGCTCGATGCTCTTCACCTCCTTGACCGAGCCATGGTGTTGGGCACTCCGTTTTGGGCAAAACATGAGGGCAGACAGCGTTGACGGTTGTAATACAAAAGGACGGTGGTATAGCCGACTCAAATCCTGGTGTTTGGTTTTGTCCAAGTCCAAATCATACGAAATCATGAGCACTTCCACTTCTTTGCATCACTTTGCATGGTTTGGGTTGCACTTGGACTAGATTCCACTTTTAGGAGACAGGTTGGAGATGTCTGCCAGCCATTGATCAGGGTGCGCAGTGGTTAAACATGGTTAGACTGGTCCTTTGTTTGCCCTGCGCGTACTCGGTTGTGCACGGGTTTCCCTTGCTTGAGCCATGTACATGAATGACATGTGTGTTGTTGCGTGGGACCTGTTCGCCTGCCGCTGATCATGGGATCCAAACCATCGGCGAAGACCTGCACTCATTCCTGTCATTGAAGTTTGCATATATTTATGCATCAGTTTGGATGCGGGTTGGGAGGTGCCCGCCGTGAGAGAATTGTAGAAGACCCCACAGCCCAATGCTTCCGATCTGTCGTTTGCGTGAGTTATGGGTCACAAAAGAGATGTTGATTCCCTCAAGCTGCAATTTAGAGAGAGTTCACTAGCATGTCACGCACATGAGAACCGTTGTTTGGACTTTTAATAGGTAAACACAGTAAACACACATTACAATCAAATCAATATTTGTTTGCTCTGATCCTGTACGCGTGTGTCCAGAAAAGTTAGTGCAAGTGGACCAATGGAATCACACCCTCACCATGGGTACACAGCTGTCTACTGCTTCCTCGCTGTTCATAGCTTTTCGTTCACCCTCGGCTTGAGGACATATTGATCCAAGAAGTGCTGGGCTACCACGCTTTCATCAGCCCAGCTTCACTGTGCGGTTCGACACCTCATCAGCTCTATGCCTCCTTTGGCTGTACTGAATTCAATCACGAGGAGGCTGGAACTGGGCATGGACGGCGGGTCCCAGGTGGCTGACTACAGCGACTACCTGGAGGTCCAGGATATATATAGCATTACATATCCATTTTCTGACGAGGTTCTTGAAACATCTTTAAATCATGTGTGATTCTTTCAGAGGTAGGAGGTATAGAATCCTATAGACATTGTATAGTGAGACGGTTTATATAGTCAGACAGTTTGCTCATAAAGTGTAGTTATGGCTGTTTCAATCAATGCAGATTATATGTGTGCAACACGTTCATTATGTGTGCAACACGCACACACATACACACACACACACACACACACACACACACACGCGCGCACGCACAACTGAAAAAGGCCTCTAGACATCATGAGCCACAAAATTCAGAGGCAAACGGAAGGGTAGTGCACAGAAAGGGTTTTGCAAAAACCTATTCTACTAACATCGTGGAAGGCGCGGGACATTCGTAGAACCCAAGGCTATTCGTGGACAGTTCGTGGAATGGTGGGCCAGTAGGAAAACTGACTGCAACGAAATCCCAGAAACCTTCGCAGAACTTCGTGGAAGGTATTTTTGATGCACTAACTTCGTAAAAGCCATTTTTGCTGACCCCCTTTCTCCACACACCCTCCATTTAGCCTTCAAAAATGAGCATCCCCAAACAGATCCACAAAAGTCAAGTTCATATTTATGGCCAGACCCGACTGAGAGTTTTCAGGTTGTTTTTGGTGCATGAAGCCATTGTTCAGTGCATGAAGCGGCACAAAGCTAGTAACAAAGACAAGGTGTTTAGACAGGTAGCCATCCACTGGTGGGGACCGCCCAAACTAGCCGAATAATTGATTCTGCCGTTGTTTTCTTGATATACTTTGCCGTGATGAGATCGTATCCAGTGTAGATTTATGAGTGTCCAAGACACACTGGGATCAATTCTGAGCGACGACGGATGTTGCAGCATGTCACACCCATTTGTTCAGACGCGGAAGAATACGTGTTGATAACTGATAGCAACAAGCTACTAGTAGCGATGCACTTGTTGCTAGTAGCTTCATTCTTGTTACTAGTAGTAGTAAGGTGCCTTGTTACTAGTATGGATGCACTTGTTTCTAGTAGTGTTGATCAGTGTGTTGCTACATACAGCTACCAGTTTTGTTTTGTTTTAATGAGTTTGTCACATCGCATGAAGATGTTCCTTCATCACAGCATCCTCAAAAACGTGTCTCGTATCATTGCACTCAACTTTTTCGTAGATTTGTCCGCTTGAGGCGCGTGATTGCGAGAACGAGACTAGGATTCATGTGACTATGGACTCTTGGATCACCGGCTACCCCACGGAGTTGGATGCCTGGATGTGATTTTGGTGCAGCGACGAATTCACTTCATGTGATTTTGATTGATTTTGTGTTTTTCTTTTTGACCGGATGGTTGTCGAGTCGACCAATCTAATCAGGTCGCATGTTTTGGTCGTTTTTTCGTCATTGTCCGATGCAGGTGTGCACAGCTGGTCCGTGGTCCGTTCCCACAAACCGGTCCGTTGGATCTGCACGGATGCCTTCCGGTTTCATTCGTGCAAACCGTGCGTCGCAGACGAGGACACCATGAAGAGCAAATATCCGCACTTGGCACCCAGCGATTTGGGCAGTATGGGCTACGACGGACATGAGTCGGTGTTCTTGCAGATGCGGTCGAGGGCAGCTGCGGCACAGCAGGGCCTTGCTTTAGCTTACTATGAGACCTGGAACGTTTTCAGAAGACCGAATGAAGCATGAAGCAGGTCGTAGTCATGTTATGCTTTTGATCTACCAAAGTGTTTGACCGCGGAACAGGTGGAACTTGATTTTTGAGCAGTCAAATGAGGTGGATCCGCAACCGCTGTTTGTTTCGCTGGCCGCTGATTCCAAAGACGAAGCACGTTTACAGTAAATGCAGATTCACTGGTTCTAGATCGAGTTCTACACATATGAGCAACCACTTTTATTTAGGCTGGGCTAAAGTAGTCTACGGCATGCTTTGTTCATCAGTATTCGCTTGTGAACGAGATAGAGCCCCCCACATAAACGAGATACTTTTAAATGATGACACTAAAGTACTCTGAACGAGATAGTGTGCTTTGAAAGCAGTCTGAACGAGATACTCTGGCATGACCTCCTCCTTAAGTACTCTAAACGAGATAGGGCCCCCACATAATAGATAGTGTTTTTGAGTTTAGTACTGCAATAAATGCCGCCGCACGCATATATCTAGTTTGCATGTGATCAGCTGGAATCAACAAGTCTTTGTTCTTTTTCCAGCTCCGCTGATGAGCTGCGAGCATAGCCAAGGAGAGTTACAACACCTCCCACCACGATCCCAAAGAGCCTTTGGGCGGCAATTGATGCGTTGCTGCGTTGCTATATCACAGGCATCATACCCGCCACCCATTTGTACCTCCACGGGCTATGGGTGATTTCCCAGGTTTGTGGGAACCAGGGTACAGATGGGCATCCACTAGTTGTACTCGGATATGGTTGTGTTTATATGTGTTTTTGCTTCTATTTTTTTACGCGTTCCTCCATTGGCTGATGTCCTCCATCCTAGAGACCAAAACGGCAGTTGCGAGGCTCCTTCGACAGAAACAATGCAGTTGGATGAAGTTGGTGGATGATGGCTGCCACACACATCTACTTCTCCCATAGTGCCCTATAGCTAAGAGTTGGAGAACTACACATGTCGTCAATAGAGCATTTCATTTTTTGCCGAGGAATGCAGCAGAAAGGATGGTCGAATCAAAGTATAGTTAAGCTTTTTTGGACCATGTGTGGTACACATATTCCTCGGGGCTTTCCGTGTGGTGCACATGGCACACGGGGATGGTACACATGGTCCCGGTTCTTCGAGCTCGGCGTTTCTTCGATCAATCGCAAAGAATGGAGCATCTCCCACAGACCCGCTTTCCCATCCGTTCGTTGTCACGAAAGCAAGAAATGTTTGACTCTGCGAAACACAGCCAGATTTGCATTTGGAATTTTGTGTCCGTTTGGCTATCATGTGGGTGGCATAGCTGCCGGATTCTATTTAGAGGCTCAGCACAATTGACGTCCAAGGTATTTTTGCAGCATCTCTGATATCGGCGCGTCTCTGAAGCAATGCAACCAAACTGACTTGTTTAAGACTGAGTATCTTGTCCGCTTGAGCAGAATTTTCTGGGTGCCGAAATAGGTGTGTTTACACCAGCTGGCGTATGTGTCTCGAGTCTCCAGTGTTTGTTGTTTTCCAACAAACTGATGGGTTTTTGGATGTTTGATGGCAGAGTTCCACCGTGCAAAGGGACCGGGTTAATTTTGGAACGCGGGAGATTAGGATCGTTTTGCAATGCCTGTTTCTGATACTTTACCTTTTATCACCTTATTTCTTGTGATGTGTGGTTTCTAACTGGTAGTTTGTGTGGTGTTTCTATTTTCTGTTGTTGTTTTTTTGTTTATATATTTATATTTGTTTTTTTGGTTTCTATTGTGTTCTTCTTCCTGTGTTTTTTTACATATCGTGGATGTTGGTTCTTTTTTATCTCTTGGTAGTTGGAGTCGTGGCTTTTCAGTTGGTGTTTCTCTTTTGTTTTTCTGAGTTGTTGTTTCTTTGTGTTTGTTTTCTCGTGCTGGTCCTTTTGTGTTGTTATTGTTTTTCTCTTTGAGTAGTTTTAGTTATGTTGTCGTTTCAGTTTTTCCCTCTAGTTATGATGAGTGGCTTCTATGGTTTTTGTTCCTGTGTCGGTCATTTTGGTGTTTCTCTTGGCAAAAAGTCTGAGTATGTTTGAGTTGTACTTGTTTCAGCTTTGTGTGTTATTTCGTTTCTCTCTTTGTAGTTTTATGGTGTTGTTTTGTTTTTCAGATTGTGTTTTGTTTTAATCTTTTGTGCTTATGATGTATGCGTTGGTTGTCTTTTCCTCGCTGCACTGATTTATGTGTCCACACAGCATATCTTTTGTGATCCACCCGAGGGTAAAATAATTTAAGAAGGAGCAATGAAAAGGTAGGAGCACCATTCTTTTTTGTGAGCCATCCGATGATAAAACTTAGACTTATAGAGGAGGAAACACATGCCTGTAGTGGCCCGCCCGAGGGTAGAATTCAGAGTATGAAGGAGCCATTCCAACGTAGCATCCCTGTTGCGAGCCATCTGAGAGCAAAATTTAGGCAAGGTTGTCTCTATCGTGGCTGATTTGACACTTTTATTGTCACAAAGGAGAGAGACCTTGTGGATGCGTGTGTGGATGTTCCAAAAAATGATCCTCCTCCTCCCCAGTGCAAATTGGCCGTGCTATTGTTTGGCCGGCCTATCAGAGGGTGTTTTGCCCGATGAATACGTTGACGATCGGGTGAGCATGGGTGAGCTAAAGGAACAAAGCAGGAGTGTGTGTGTGTGTGTGCGTGTCCAATAGTTCTGTCGCGAGCGTGTTCTGGTGTTATGTTAATGTTTTGTTGGTTCGGTTCTGCCCTCGTGAAAAATCCTAGCAGCTGCCAAAAGAATGGGTTTTCAAAGCGATTTGTGTGCCGCTCGCTTTCTCCAATTGTGCCCTTGAAACATCCAGGTTCATGGAGAACTATTTGAATTGGACTGGTGATAATGAGGGTGTGACATTTGATGAGACGAACAGCTACGTTGCGAGATGCTACAACGGCTCATGGTGGCTGGCGCCAAGTTGCCGTTGGGATCCCTTGACGTGTATTCCGATGATCACTGCAGCGACATGGTTTGAAGGGAACTTATTTGTTTCACTTGTAACCAAACGTACTCCAGGGACTTTCAAAAGAAACCACAGTTTCAATACATACAGGAAAAATATGTGACCTGTGCCAATGTTTTAAATATCAGGATCATAGCCATAGCACTATGAATTTTGGACAAATGCAGCTAAGTTCAAGAGACATTGTTTGTTTGTTTGAGTGGCAGGGTCCATTCTTGGCAAAGGCATTTGTGTTTGTGTATCCAACCTTAAAGATCCTGAAGTAGCAATATGTCCTGTGATGTCCTGTGTGTATGAAACATGCCGCTTTCGTTCTTGTAGATCTGGTGTCCACGATTCTCAGCGGATGTAAAGCTTCTTTGTCCAAAGCCGGGCATTTTAATGTTATTCTCCGTAGCCACAGGATCCCGCATGTTGGTGTTTGCTGGGCTGGTTTGGAACACTTAGACTGACGACACATGTTTTTTGGAGGAAAACATGGAACTGATCCAAGATCATCCAATCATTCATTCCGATTCATTCCTATCATTTTCGACCCTCCACTGGGCCATTTTTTCGAATGGATCGCTCCCAGGGGACAGGTTGGAGGGTGCAAGCGCTGATGCAGTGGTCGACGGCCTATGGGATCCCGAGCGCGATCGGCGTGGGTCTAGCCACTTGGAGCGAGCGAACTGAAACAAACACTCCTAGTAGCGTCCGATCGCTCCTGGTAGTGAGGCCAGGAGCCCCTAGTAAACTGATAGAATCTCAAGCAGCATCCGTCAAGAGAATCCTTGAGATCGTACGATTTGCACCTGTAGCAGGGAGGTAGCAGAGGGAGGAACCTGGTCAATGGGGCGTTGCGATGTGTGACCATTTGTGACACGGCTGTGACGGCAGCGCTTCGCAGGGGATGCACTGCGTAAGTCCAGATGACCCTCAAGAGATTTGGTGTTTGGGGATGTGAACATGTGGGCTGGTTGGAAATGGTTGGAGGGTACTGGGATTGCTTCCCCACCACGGGTTCCCTGCGACTCCAGTGGGAGCGTGGTAGAGTTGGAACCACTTCTTGCACAAGGAAACATCCAGGAACCATAGGCGGACCGACCATTTTGTTTCTCTCCTTTCCCATCCTTTTCCGTAGACTGCCAAGGAGAACTCCGATTGGGTGTCGATCGTCCAAGACTTGAGCGTGATGTTCTATTGGTGGCTTCCTGATGCCACCTTTGCACACCTGCAGCCAAGCAAAGTCATTTTTCCGGAGACTCAGCTGAGGTTGGCATCGGAATACAGATAGGTCACAATAGATCTTTGACACAATTGGTATACAATTGGATTGGTATACAATTGGATGGTCAAGACCATTCCAATACAACCACTGGATGGGTTTACGTTCAAAAGGAGACTTGGTGGTGGACCATTCCAAAGCTGCATATCTTGAAGACATGACTCGGCAGTTTTAAGGACATCGATCAAGCCGGGCAGAGCGTTTTGCCCAGCGTGGCCTTGTCCGACCATCTGAGGACTTCAACGCTCGGGAATGGGTGGCTTGGAGGAACAGATCGGAGGAAACAGACTCCACTCCATTCCACTCCTACACAAGCACACTTCGACAATTTGTATTCAGTTAGCTCAATTTCTCCGATGGGA